CCGGTCACTTTGGGTCAGGCCATGTCACATAGGTCACCTCTCGTCCGATGGGATCAGCCCGGGCCACTGTTCTACTTTTGCCTCCACCACTACCCCTACCCCCACCCCTACCACTACCCCTACCACTACCCCTACCACTACCCCTACCACTACCCCTACCACTATCCCTACCCCTACCACTACCACTACATCTACCCCTGTCCCCTACCCTTACCACTACTACTACCCATACTCCTACCCCTACCACTACCCCTACCACTACCCTACTACTACCCCTACTACTACTCCTACCACTACACCATTACTACTACCCATACTCCTACCCCTACCACTGCCCCTACCACTACCCCTACTACTACTCCTACTACTACCCCTACCACTACCACTACTCCTACCACTACCACTACCCATACCCCTACCCCTACCTCCTACCACTACCACTACCGCTACTACTACCCCTACTACTACCCCTACTACTACCCCTACCCCTACCCCTACTACTACCCCTACCCCTACTACTACTCCTACCACTACCCCTACCCCTACCCTACCCCTACCACTACCCCTACCGCTACCCCTACCCCTACCACTACCACTACCTACCACTGGTTCATGTCAGGTCGCATAATAATTGGATCCAATATTCTTTTTTAATTAAACTTTAAAAGTGCTTCTAGTCCTGCTCCTGTTCGTGCCATTCCATTACCCTTAATTGTATTTGTCGGAAATGGCGCTTTGTGACAAATGTGGCGCATTGCGGCAAACACGGCTCATTTTCAACCGGTAATTGAGCATGCATCTTTGCACTAAATTGCACCCATATCGGACCATATTTGACAAAACTGTGCGATTTGCGGCAAAAATGACGCCTTGTGACCAATGTGACGCCTTGCGGCAAACTCGGTGTATTTGGAAATTTCATCACAAACTGTACCCATTTAGCGACAATCAACACATTTTTTCGCCACTTTTCATTCAAATTAATAACTTGCCCATCCGTCAATGCGAGGCACCCGCCGCCGATCGGCATGCATTTAGTTCACAAAGTTTGTCGACCCCGGCTCTCAATGAAGATCTACGAACCGATCAAAATTTCATTGGCGTTGTTCCAGCGCGCCCCACGCGCGAACCGTGGACCCCAGCGAGTCGAAACCTAGAAAAGGCGCTGACCCGCTCTGTCACCTAGAAGGCGTGCAAATTTCAGCCCCCTACGTCGTACCGTCTGCCCTGAAGCCGTAACAAATTGAACCCACTACACGATGTGCGGACACACAGACTCACAGACAGACGGATTCTGTTGGAATAGTAAGTTAGACAAGCGGCTGCGCCACTTGCTCTGCTGCGTGGTAGGAAAAAAATTGCGGCACCAGCCAATTTGCTTTCGAATGGTGTTCGTTTCAAATCGATGTGTCGTCTAGAAGCATAGATATGGACGGAAATGTGAAGAGAATTAAAAAAGAACTGTTCTGAGGGCTTTGTTGGATGAAATTTGGCTGATACGGGGTCTAGACGGGTCAAGAGGGTCAGCCCCAGTCACTTTGGGTCAGGCCAGGTCACAAAGGTTACCTCTTGTCCGATGGGATCAGCCCGGGCCACAATTCTACTTTTGCCCCCACCACTACCCCTACCCCTACCACTACCCTTACCCCTGCTACTACCCCTACCACTACCCCTACCACTACCCTACCCCTACCACTACCCATACCACTACCCCTACCCCTACCACTACCACTACCCCTACCACTACTACTACCCATACTCCTACCCCTACCACTACCCCTTACCACTACCCCTACCACTACCCCTACTACTACCCCTACTACTCCCCTACTACTACCCCTACCCCTACTACTACCCCTACCACTACCACTACCACTACTCCTACCTCCTACCACTACCACTACCCCTACCACTACCACTACCTGCCACTACCACTACCTGCGACTGGGGTCATGTCAGGTCACATAATAATTAGATCCAATAAATATTTAAAAAAAAAATCAGACTTTAAAATTGCTCCTAGCCCTGCTCCTATTCGTGGCATTCTATTACCCTTAATCAAATTTGTCAGAAATGGCGCTTTGTGGCAAACGTGGCGCATTGCGGCAAACGCGGCGCATCTGAACCTGTTGGTTGAGCATGCATCCTGGCACCAAATTGTACCCTTATCGAACTATATTTGACAAAACTGTGCAATTTGCGGCAAAAATGACGCTTTGTGACCAGTGTGACGCCTTGCGGCAAATGCGGTGCATTTGTAAATTCCTATCACAAACTGTACCCATTTTGCGACAATCAACACATTTTTCGCCACCATTTATTAAAATCAATAACTTGCTGATCCGCCAATGCGAGGCACCCGGCGCCGATCGGCATGCATTTAGCTCAGTAAGTTCGTCGACCCAGGCTCTCAATGATGATATAAGAACCAGGGTTACCGCTGCTAGGGAAATTTCCCTTTTCTATGGAAATCAGCGAAAATCTAGGGATATATGGATTTGCCACGAAATCTAGGGAAATACCAGAAACCCGAAAAATTGTTGTTTTTTCAACAATCGAAATCATTGTTGTCATGAATTATTCTTCCGCATGTCATATGAAATAGATATGAGAACATTTTTTCACAAAATTCAGGTTTGATACTCTCGTTTGAAATACATAGGGAGAATTACATAATTATACATGCATATATGATTCTTGCTATTATTTCAAAACAAACTGCTTCCATGCTTTGTATTGTACCATATCGGGTGCGGCTAATTTTTTACATCAAAGTTTTTGTTTTGGCGCGATTGTAACCAAAAATTGTAAAAAATATTTTTACAATTTCTAGCGCATTTCACTTCTTTACGGTCAAACTGACGGCATGGGAAATAATGCATCGACTCGTCTCTTATCGCCAGCACTACCTATACGGTACAAGGCCATCTATAGAAATAATACGGTATAGTTTCCCGCGTCCCGCAACACACCACAATTTGCGATATACCACGCACGTATTTTATACCACATAGAGTAATTTGCTATAGGTATGCCAGCAATTTCATTACAATCTCTTACGTTACGGTACAGAATGTAGTTAATTGCTGTTTACGACGCAGCGACTATAACACGAATGGTTAAAGGGACCCTCCCACCTTAACATTAGTTTTGAGTTGAGATAGCCAAGTTTGCGGCCAGGCTCAGAAACCACCATTTATCCTGGTCGCAACCCCCGCAGCTTTATGGTGTTCAAGAAATTTCTTCCCTTTACTTGCAGGGTGGGACCAGCGTGGTCCCTATCTCTTAACCATTACGGGAGTCTGATGACGTCATCAGGCTTTCGAACGTCCGTTAAATGTTTGACTAAAACGTTTTGTAGCATGCGGTGGTATATGCTGCTTTGCGCGCAACAAATGCCGCACTTTCAAATAAAGTTGCTAGGAACAGCGGAGATCCCAAAAAGTAAACAAAGTAAAAGTCTAATATCTTGAAAACCGGTGAATATTTTTCGATGAAATTTGGTAGATATTCGTTTTTGCTCTTTCTGAACCGAGGAACATCACTTTCATGCCAATTCATTAACTTTTTTGAAGGTGGGAGGGTCCCTTTAAAATGACGAAAGTACGTCAGATTCCAGGAAAATAGCCGCATCTAGGAAAATGATTTTCAAAATAGGGAAATTTTCGTGAGAATCTGGGGAAACCAGCAAGACGCCAGCGGTAACGCTGATAAGAACCGATCAAAATTTCATTGGCGTTCTTCCAGCGCGCCCCACGCGCGAACCGTGCACCCCAGCGAGTCGGAACCTAGAAATGGCGCTGACCCGTTCTGTCACCTAGAAGGTGTGCAAATTTCAACTTCCTACGACTTACCGTCTGCCCTGTAGGCGAGGTTAATTGAACCCACTACACGATGTGCGGACACACAGACTCACAGACTCACAGACGGATTCTGTTTGAATAGTAAGTTAGATATATGAAAATTAAAATAAGGGATTAACTGATTATACGTGGGGTTATCGGAAAGTTCTGATCATCACATGATCCTGTGAAGAGTCAATGGCAAAAAACCTTTGGTGACCTTTGATGACGTCACATGACCTTTACAGCTGCCCAACAGCAAAACAGGCCTCAAGGTAGTGAAGGTTGATCGTATATGAAGTCATGTATGGTACATATATGGGGCCATTCTGACGCGTTTTAGTGAAGAAAAAAAACAGGGAGTTGATTTTTCCCCCATTGACTTATAATATGGTTTAACTTATAATATCAAAATTCAGAGATATAAAAATTGTAACTACCAACAACCTAATAACATCCTCAGACTTTCAAAGGACTCAGTCATCTACTGTAGCTCTGACACGGTGACAAAGTTGCAAAAAAGTGACTTGAGGTTGGGTCATTCAAAGTGACCTGGTGACCTGACCTTAAAAGTTAGGAGGTTCAAACTTGCACATTATGTGTAAAGTTGATAAGAAAATAGTCATAGCACATTTCGCGGTGCTACGCGCCGCGGTTTTCCCGCTATTCGCGAAAAACCTCAGGGGGGGGGCGGAAAACCGCCCTCCGTCGGTGCACGGGTTAATAAAAAAGCAAAAGTATATTTGCAGATGGGAGGGGATGGTCTCCATTATTGGCCTCCCACCGGGCAGCAGCGTTATGTAAAATATCCCAATATCAAAGTCCGGAGGGTGTTAATGTTCCAGCACAACTTTCTGCATTGGTATCTAGATTGCGTAACGCCCTTATTGATTGTGTGTGGGACTCGACAGTATAAGCATATGTGCGCGGTCGGAGCACCAGCCGGAGGGAGGTAACTGGTCCGCTCACCCCAGACAGCGGGCGGCCCGCGCCGACCAGTCCCTGTCCTCAGGACAGGCCACCAGTCCTGTCCTCAGGACAGGACAGGCAGGGGCGGCGCCAGGCGCGGTCACCGCAGAGGCGGCTCAAGAGGGGGAGGAAGTGGACACGAACATACAAACACAAAAGATACAGTGCCTCACATCGGTGCACCGACCCACCTGGTAAGACGACTCCTGTGGCGGGTCCCGGTGGTGTGTTAGAGCGGCCGGGCCGCCATCGGCGAACCAGCCGTCTTTGGTGGACCTGAAATAAGAGTGGAAAGGAATAAATATCGATCTCGTGCAAAGTTTGCATTTGTCACATTTCATTCATTTCAAATAAAAATAATTGGAGCAGACTTATCTTTTGAGTATAGATTGAGGCGGAGGTGTGTTGGAGCACTGCAGCCATCTCTCTAGCGAGGCAAGCCTGAAACAACAGTACAGAGGAATTAGTGAACACAGAAGAAAATGGAAAAGAAAAATATGAAATAAAATGAGAACAAAAAGCAATGAGAATTTCAAAGTATTAGTGGATGTGAGCTGAAATGCCAGAGCCAGGTTGAAATCAGCGCAAGTTCATGTGACATTTGCATTGGTTTCACACCATAGAACTAGTTCGTTCTAAACTAGCGTTCGAACTAGTCCTAGTAGTAGAAGTAGAACTAGAACTAGTCCGAACTAGAGCTCGGACAGAAAAACACTTATCTTTCGTCCAGGTGTGAGGCCGCCGGAGATTCCCAATCAGGCTGGTTCACCAACCCGCGAGCTCCCAGGCGCGCATGAAATAAAAACAACACTGGAATCAGCATACCAAATTCTGCAAATCCTGCCACACACAAAGAGCTAGAGCCTAGTGACAATCAAAAGTGTGTTTATCTAGCTTACTGGGGCTGCTGGGTGCACCGACTGCAATGGCCATATGGCGCCCAGATCTAAAGTGTAAGTTAATTGTGGTTTTAGGGCGCACCAACTGCCGTGGTCTTACGGCGCCCATATCTAGTGTTCTTCATGTGAATTCAGTTCACTCAAAGTATAGGTGTATGTCATACCTGTGAGAGATCTGGAGTTCCCGTCGGCCGCAGTCCAGTTTTGACCGGCAGATGGACGCTTCTAGTCTCGGTACCAACGGCGGCGCACGTACTGCCGCACATGAGCTGTGGTCGGTGAGAGAAACGGCACGATGTTATAAATTGAAGTAAAATAGCCGCCCCACCACAAGAAAAAGGAACAAAACATGAAGAAAATACTATGATGATTATGTCGACGATTGTTTGATAGAGCGATCGCATACATGGACTGCAATATGATTTACAAAGTAGTGTCACAGCCCTTGTCGCTGCGTCCCATTCACTCTATTAATTTGTTCATTTTAATTCAAAACAAACCAATGGCCCAGGCGCTCACCGTTCCCAGTCTGTTTGTTGACAGGTCGGTCCGACACAGGACCGGGGGCGCGCTCTCTCGCGGTGGCCGTCCAGCGAACACAGAGGGGTGGCGGCACCGCCCCAGACGGCTGATCACACAACGCAATGCTGAAACGACAGAAGAGGCATCGAGTCACTCACTTGGGCATGGGGACTTGGACATGAAAACACGTTGTGCCACATCAATACAATCCTGTCCATAGATGTCGCTAGCATACAGCGCCTGAAGTTATGCTGCGCCGCATGATTACAATCCCGCTCATAGATGTCGCTAGCGTATGACGCCTGAAGTTATGCTGCGCCGCACAGCCTCCAGCGGCCGGTATAACACAGCTTTGGTCGACAATTGGCAGCCTTTTACATGCAGAGTTGGAGAAATATGACGGCCAAAATAAAGAATTGTTAGGTTGTGATAGCTTAAACCTCGCCCGTATAGGGGGAGAGGGTCAAACGGACCCCCGCCTCGGTTTTTCGCGAATAGCTCGCGTAAAAAGTGGCTGATCGCGACGAAACTTCCAGTACCCTCGAGTTGATTTTACACCTACCCTGAAAATTTTGTGACGCTGACCCGAGTGACCTTTGACCTGTGACCTATTTCTAGAGACCATGTTTGGCCATCTATATCAACATTCTGAGATATACTGAGATATATATGTAAATACTATTGCTCTTAGCAATCTCTGAAAGTTTCAAAGCGATCGGTCGCTCGGTGTAGCTATGGCAGACATTGAAACTTTTTATGAGGTGGAACCGCCGTTTTTGAGATATTCGCGAAAAAACACACGGGGAGGGGTGTTCAAACACCCTCTTCCAGCAGGGCGCGGGTTAAGTACCGATTGTTAAAGGGACTATCCCACCTTTAACATGGGGTATGAGTTGAGATAGCCAAGTTTGCGGCGAGGTTCAGAAACCACTATCTATCTAGGTTGCAACCCCCGCGGTCTCTTGGTGTTGAAGAAATTCGTTCCCTTCATTTGAAAATGGGCCTTGTACAGTCTGTCTTAAAAGTACCGCGCAAAGTGACGGTGGATCCATTAAGCCTGACCGAGGAAGGGCCTGCTATAATTTGAAAGTCACCGAACCAATGGAGCTGGGGAATGGACGAGGATGTCCATTGCTTCGGTGACTCAAATTTGGCAGTCCTTCATCGGTCAGGCTTGATGGATCCACCGTCACTTTGCGCGGTACTTTTAAGACAGACTGTACAAGGCCCTATCTTCAACATGGAGCGACCGTTAGTGTGACGTCACCTCGTTTAGTCATTCTGATTTAAATGGGTTTGTTCGTTGAAAAATCGCTTAAAACTTGGTCTGAACTTTGTTGTGGTGCCTACAGAGTAAAAAGAATCAGCTTTATGACAGTAATGTGGTCTGGGGAAGGAGGTAATTTTGGGCTGTGACGTCACATATTTGAAAGTTTGTGTTTGGAGTATCGGAAGCCTAAGATGTTTAATGAAAAATAAATGCCAGAACCGTGTTCCTGGTCATTCAATCTATAAAGTCGGGCACAATTTAACTGGTTTTAACAACATTTTAGAAGGTGGGATAGTCCCTTTAACCCGCGCCCCGCTGGACTATTCAGCTATACGCACTGCCCCCTAACTTCCGAACCGATGGTCGTAGAAAGACGGGGAAAACGGCAATCGAAAGCTCTCAACAAGACGGATCTTAAGGGCTCAATTTTTTTTTGGCTTAAGTAGGTCAGAGGTCAGATCAAGGTCAGGTCAAGGGTTCAAAATGCAAGTTTCTACAGTATCGGCCTTGCACCGTAGTTGCCGAAGAATGGACTGAGACTGATTGCCCAAAACGTGTTCTTAGGCTACCAAGACAATATTCGTTGCATACAATATCATGCAAAGGTCAAGGTCAAGGTAAGGTCAGGTCACCAAAAACGAAATATAGAAAAGGGCATGTGCGACACATGTTTTATGGGTCATTTTATTCATAGAATTCAATAGGCACACTCAATAAGTGATATGGACCACATCTGGATGAATTTCAGGTCGAGGTCAGGTCAAGGTCAGATCAAGTGAGGTCAAATTTTGAAGTTGGTTGTTAAGGCCTAAAAGGTGCCTATCTGATGCAGTTTTTCACGGCAAATCGAATGGTGCTATTTTTGTTTCCGTACAAGCTCTAGAACTTCCAAAAAATATTTTTTTCAAAAAATTGTGTGTCGTGACGTCATACAATTTTGAATAAATCCCACATTTTTTAACCGATTCTTCTAAAATTGGTATGTAGGTGCAGATAGACAACTTCTCAGACATATTTTCCGTTTTTCGATACACTTAAAATTTTGGATTTTATTATCATTTTTCCAAAAAGTCAGTTTTTTAAGAAAAAAAAAATGGGCAAAAATCAGAAAACTTCAAAAAACCGAGATAGCCATTTGATAGACAAAGTAGAACAACGTATAACCTTTTAGTTACGTCTTGATTCTTTTGAAAATGAAGGTGTTAGCGGCGGTTGAAATTTTGCCGTTTTTGAGACGAAAATGGCAGACATGACGTCACTAAAACGTCATTTTCTCAAAACTTTTCCGACGGATTTCGCTTAAACTTGCAGAAAACGTCTTAAATTGATGTATGATAAGGTACTGAAAGTTTTGACGTCGCTGGCGTAACGCGTTTAGAAGTTATTGGCGAAAAACAGGAGGGTCAGATTCTGCCCCCCCCCCCCGCGCGGCGCGGGCTAGGACAGCAGAATTCATAACAAGGGTACACAGACACACAGTTGATCATATCACGCCCCAGGCACTCACCGTTGCGAGTATGAGAGGTCGGTGTGCAGACATGGGACCGGTGGCGGGGACCGTCTCCTCTCGCGGTGGCCGACCACGGGACAGAGAGGTGGCGGCACCGCCCCCAGACGGCTGACCAGACGGGCCGACACTGAAACGACCGGAGAGGCACCGAGTCACCCACTGGGGCGTGGTGACTTCGGAAGGCGGCGAAAACAGGGCGACCGGGGCCATCTGATCAAGGCTCTTGAAATTCACTCGCACAACCCGCGTGACATATAGCATGTGGATTGGAAGGCATACAGAGGGGGAGAAGTTCTTTAATAGTGACGTGACGCAATATGAAACAAATCAATACCGTTACGAAAATTAGGTACGCTCAGCTGTCCCGGACAGTTTCTTGGCTACATTTATCACCTCGTTAGCCATAAACAATACTTGAAATTATTCAAAAACAAAAACAAGGCGCAGTCGCATAGTTTGAGACACGAAAATATGATAACGAAGATATTATAAAAAATATTATAACGAATATAAAAAATGCCTTTCAGTTATCAAATCTGATACACTGTTTATTAATGTCTCCCATTTATTTATCACCAAATAAAGGACCTTGGAATTACTGCATCGTAAAACTTTCAAGCAATATTACATCATTCCCTTACGTACCTACTGGTCCAAAATGTACAGCTTGAGCTATTGCGTAATTTGTACCGATCACAAAATGCTAACTTATTTTCAAAACAGCTCAACATGGCGCACTATACCGCCTCTCAATCGATAAAAAAATATCGTCTTCCTTACCTTTCAAAGACAACAGCGGTATTTCAACTAAAATTCTTCACCACAGCGAGTGCCGCCCGCCCTCACCGAGCGCTGGTAGCGAAGAGGTCGCGCGCGCGACGGCCAGCCGCGCTCCGGCCGACCGGCCGCCGCCCGGGGGCAGGACAGACGCACGGGCGGCGCCAGGCACAGCGACTGGGGCGGGCGGCAGTGGCAGTCAGAGGCGGCGCCAGGCATGAAATCCGGGGGAGCATGGACGGAGGAGGGGGCGACAGAGAAGTGACGCATGTTCATTCCTTCTCTACTTACTAGCAAAAGGTGTTATTTTATTGTAGAATTATCTAGCACAAAAGATCACATCAGAGTAGGCATGCCAAAAAGGAAGATAGACGTTTATTACTGATATGAAGCCATATCTGGTAACCTAAGAACTAAAGTGGAGGAAAAAACGCAGTTGGTAGCCGTGTATGTGTCCAAATATTTTCATCCACTTCATTCTAAGACATTTTCAGAGGTCAGGAAACGTTGACAACACACGCAGAAATCGCATTAAATTTGAATTTTATACTGCAGCAATGAAAAAATACAATATTGAGTAGGATATGATATCATTTGATTATGCATTTCAGTTATCTTATATCCTGTACTTTTGGTTTTTAGATGTGTAACTCAGAATAACTCTTCCGCCGGGAGTGGAGGCTGTGGGAAATGTTGAACAGGCAATAACCAGTCGTGAGTCAGATTTAACCCTCGCCCGTATAGGGGGGGGGGTCGAACGGAACCCCTCGTTTTTTCGCTAATAGCTCGCGTAAAAAGCGGCCGGTCGCGACGAAACTTTCAGTACCCTCGCATTGATCAATTTTACACCTACCCTGAAAATTTCATGACCCTGACCCAAATAACCTTTGACCTGTGACCTCTTTTCCGAGACCATGTTTGGCCGAAATCGCGGTTCGGCGCATGTCGGCTCGCATTAGCCGCGCGTTTGCAAGCTTTTCGTGGTTTTCAGCGTTCAAACATGTGATTTGATGTTGCTTACATACATAAGTTGGTTTTCAAGGTCACCTGAAGGTCAGGTCAGGTCATTGACCTTTGGTGACCTCGGGTGACCTCGGTTCACTTTTTCGAGTTTTACATGTTTCTAGGCTAGTTTTTGGAGCTAAATTCGAATTTAGCAACCATTTGAACATTTACGAAGTAGTTCCGTCCCAACCCCTACCGGTTGACGTGACCTGACCTGACCCGAACTGGTCTAAATGCTTAACCTTCCAGGCGGTGGGGGGGGGGCATTTTTTGCCGCCCTTTAGTTTTTTTTTTGATATATCTCGAGAACCGCTGCGCCGATCGTCACCAAACTTTCAGTTCCCTCCCGGGAGTAGCTAGCGCACATGGTGACCAAAAATTTTCCATAGGCTATGATAGGTTGGCCGCTAATGACGTCAGAGTGACGTCATTTCTGCCATTTTCGACCCCAAAAAAAAGGTTTCGCGGGAAGAGCTGTCAGGCCTACAGCTTTAGAGATCAGACATAAAAGGTGTGGAATCAAGAGGGCTACAAAACCAGGGGTGGAGAATTAGGGGTTTTGGGGGTGCTCGAGCACCCCCTGAAATTCGAAAGTCACCATATGATAGTGCTTCAGGGGTGCTTAAATTACGTCTGAAACACAACCTGCTTTGTGCAAGTCGTGAGGAGAGTAAAACTGCTGGAAAAACGTACCTATACGTGCTTTTCTACGCATGAATTTGACTCTTCCATTTGCCAGTGCAAGAAAAGCACCCCCTGGGACTCTGACAATTCTCCGCCCCTGTACAAAACTGTTATTTCGGTCTTTCGAATTTTTTGGATTTTGACCCCCAAAAATCAAAAAATATGTTTTTTGAATATAATAGCCGAAAAACCCAAAAAGTTTTTGAATTTCGAAAAAACGGAATATATGTAATAGTCCCTACCAGCTTCCCTAAATAAGGGGGAAGTAGGAAATTTCATCTTTCATACTCAACGCAGCCCAATAATGAAAAACACAAAAAAAAATAATCACGGTGACTATAAATATGAACATAGTACTAATTTAATATTAACACAATATTAAGATTAAAGTGTAAAATATCAAATGAATATGATATAAACCCGGCACCGCCTGGGCTATTTCCGTACCCACGACAGCCTGGGGGGTCGGATCCGACCCCCCCCCCCCTGTTATCTCGAGAACCAATGGTCGTATCGAGCCCCGCGAGGCGGCGTTCGAAAGGTCTCTACGAGACCTTCCCAAAGCACTCTTAAGATTTTAAGATTGAGGTCAACTTTCGGGTCAAGGTCAGGTCAAAGGTCAAATTCAAGGGTTTTGCATGATTAGGCTTACGGACAGCGGAATCGATAGCTGCTGCTCGAAACTCACCAAAAATGACCTCAAAGGCCTAGTGAAGGTACCATGTGCGTACCTATAGGGGTCATACTAAGTACGGGTCAAGGTCAGGTCAGGTCACGAAAGGTCACGGTTTTCAATTTCTGCTACATGGGCGTGCGACACATGTTTTATGGCTTATTTTTCACGCCGAATCCGATGGTAATGGTTCTTTGTGACCCCAAGTCACTGTGCTGGTGATAAGTGTGCATTGAGAGCATAAAAAATCGTTTATACCTACCCTACATAAGTAAAGGAGGGCTAAGAAAAAAGTCAATTTTTCAACTTTTTATTTTTGACATAAAAATACACTTTTCTAGACGAGCTTTGTCCCAGGAATCTAGTGGTGCCATTTGTTTTCACATGCGATGTTCAGAAGTGCCTCTAATTCACGAAAATGCTTATGACGTCACCATGCCCTATACATGTTGGAGCTATTTTTGACAATTTGGGGTAAAAATCAAGATAGAAAGTGGAAATTCGGAACATGGAATGTTCTAATAGGTCTCTATAACATATATTCCGTTTTTTAAATTTTGAAAACTTTGGAATCTAGTAACAGTCATCCAAAAACTGTTTTGAATTTTTAGGGGTGAAAACGCATTTTATGAGAAATGCGAGATAGCCATTTTAAAGAACTCATTGAGCTACGTTTATTCATGTCCTTAATTTTGAACTTTGTTTTAAACCTTGATCTTTGGCGATTTTCAAACATTTATCATTTTTGACGAAAAAATCCATATAGTTAGGGTAACTGTGGGGAAAACGCACCCCTGGGTTAAACGCCTCCCCTAAAAAAATCGTATTTCTTATCGACGGATAGGTGTTTTATCCTGTCTTTCAGAACAGTCAGCTGCTTGTTTACGTAGGTCTCTATTTCCGGTTCTGCGTCTTGAGGAGCAGCGTGGGTAGGTGCCGATGTTGGTTTTGGGTGTTGTTTTTGTTGTTTTTACAGAAGATTCCTAATATTTTGATGCCTTCTTTATATCACAAAACTTGCTATTGTGTACATCATTTAAAACTGCGTTTTATTGTCATTCTGTTGAATTTATTATGCTGCAGCGTTAGTGGCGCGTTTTTTGTCCATATTTTGTTGACGGGAAATGGAGTGGATGGGGAAAGACGCCTACTCGATGCATGGGGCAAGACGCCCCCAGTTTTCTGAAAGGGGGGCGTTTTGCACGGTGGTGAGAGTGCAGGGTAGCGCCCTGTAGGTGGGTGCCAAAAAGGCCTCTCCCTGTCCTTTTTTGCTGATATATCCTAAACGACTGCAGATATCGTCACCAAACTTTCAGGACTCCTCCGGGCATCCATTTTACACATTGCAACAAAATTTTATTCCAAAGGCTATGATAGGTTGACCACAAATGACGTCAGAATGACGTCAAGTTCTGCCATGTTCATCATGTTCTGTTGCTGGATGGGGTGGGGGCGCTTTGCACATGGGTGTGGGCGTATTACCCAGGGTGTGGGGCAAAACGCCCTTTTGTAAGGGTATGCGAAAACCTTTTTGGGGGGTTTAATACCACACGCAGGTGTCTTTTCTTGGTCTCAAAGCGTAGTAAAAAGAATGAGCTACATGATGGTGCCCAAAGGTTTGAGTAATCTGCGTTGGGTTGAGTGTCAGAAGGTTTCGCGCTTAATGGGGGCGTTTTTGACCTATTCACCCTACATCAATAAAATAGATATGTCACATTTTTTGCAAAATTTGCATAAAATGACAAATGATGTCAAATTAATAAGCGACAAGATGTACGAAGTTTCAAGTTGATAGCGTAAGCGGTTCGTTAGTTATTCCAGAAAAATAGAGGGGGGTCGGATCCGCCCCCCCCCCCCGGCGGTCACGGGCTAACGTGTCCGTGTCAGCACCATTAGACCCAACATTACGAGCGCCGTGCTCTAAAGCCCTAATAAACAAAAAGACCCGTCAAATAATGTGACGGGCCCGGCGGACGGTCACCGTCTACTTACCCCGCTGCGACGACAGGGTGGACGCGATCGGAACCAAATCGGAACCGACTGCTATGGGTCGGGAGTATCAGTCCGCACCAAAATACAACCGCCGACATAAGAACCGACCAGCCTCGGGCGAAAGAAGGCGCGGCCCGCAGCACCGCCGTCAACACAGGACCGCCGCCGGGAGGACGGGGGATGGGGGGGGGGGGTTTGAGGGGACAGCAGAAAAGTTAGGTACGCGATGCAATGTCATGATATGCGTTCTTTGAACAATGAACATGGCTCTTAGGTATCATATTTGTTAAATACCTATCAATCATCACAGCATTTGATCAATAGCAGAACATTGCATTGAATGTTAATTTGACTGTTGTTACGTTAAATGACTATTCGGACCATGGTCCGTGATAGAAGTAGGGCTAGAACCAGACAATTGCTCAAATATTTATAAGCGAAGGATGTACATGTTTGACGAAAAGAAATCTAGTCGATGATTGTACTTGCACGGAAAAGTCGGTCGGCTGTCGTCATTCCATAGTTTCTGCCGACCGCTTTTCGGTAAGACAGCATCGACCCATCGACCGCCTATTGGGAGGGGGGGGGGACAGGGGGTTCTCTTTTTGATAGCCGCACCAATCGCCGTCCAATGAATTTTGAAGGTTCATGTCACGACACTGAATGCATTAACTCTGCAGAAAAAACGTCATTTTTGGTAATTGTCTTCGTGTAAAGCAAGTTGAAACCGCCACAAAAAAAATAAATTCGGACACCTATGCAAGCGCAAGACGAAAATCTGCTATTACGGTAGGCACTTCGCAACATCATGATACCAAAACTACACATGAATGCACCAGTGTCCAGTCGAATCATCATTAGCGGAAAATTTCACTCATAGGCATAACTTTAAACTTACCTATAAATTGCAGGCACGCTGATGAAGGTTAACTTGTTGCTCGTATTTGATTCTATCACGACTCTTCAGTCAGTCATGGAATATCAAAACATGAAACTTCCATCGTTGATAATCCGCCGGGTCAATGAGCGTAAACAATGCACGTGACGTCTCCGCTCCGTTGCTCATTTCGAGGTCAGCCGGCAGTGGGCCGACCGGGGCGGCCGCTGATTGGTCAGAATAAGCGGCCACCTGATTGGCGGAGCGGTGACCGGGCGGCCCCCTGATAGGTCGCCGCCGACCCGGCCGCTTCAGAAAACGCGCCGTCAAGCAGTGAAATGTGTGATAAATCGATTGCAAAAATATCTGATTATCTCACAGGGAGGGGGTATCTGGTGCATTCACCCCTTCGGCAGCCTCCTAAATCGTTCAAAATTTGTCGCTTTTCGTTAATTGACAACAAAACAGCAATTTTTACAAGAAAACGTCTTACTTTCACTATCTCAGCGACGCATGAGGTACCCAAATCGGAGGAGTCTGGATAATTTGGGACGATTTTTTGGGAGAGAATGCCCTGCAATGTGCAGTACTCCCTTTCAGCATCAGCCAGTGTACGAATAAGACACAATTAGGCCAAACAATTGGTTGCAAACCTATGCTAATAATCAGCAATTAGCCATAACACGGACACCCGACGAACAACCAAACTCGGCCGGCCGGTCTCAGCCGGCCATACCTATACGCCACAGCTGGTGGACACGCGTCGGGCGGCCGGCGGGGGGGGGGGGCGGCGGCCGGGGGGGGGGGGGCGGGGCAGCGGGAGGGAAGAGCGCATTTGGCCGCGCCAGTTTATGTCGAATAGCAAATTAGATAAGAAGACCGAACGAAAACTCCCAAAGGGTAGCTTTAAGCTTCGAATTCAGAATCCAGTTTTTCACTCGGTCAGTCAGCCCTCGCTCTTCGGCAGACATGTGCATGGATTCGAGTGATGGATCTATGATCTCAGACCTCAGTGGATCTCGAAGCAAACTGCAGATTAGGATCTATCAGGCGACCGGATCCGGTATGAAAAGTCTGCCCTAGATCTATGATCTCATAGGATCTGATGATAGGAATCAAGAATACCTATGCAGCTATGATCCAAGTGGATCCCACCATGCACAAAATTTGAAACCAAGTTTTCAAGTGTTTCTACGTCAATTAGTGCCACAAAACTATGGATTGGGACAAACATCGGAATTTTGATATCGGTGATCTAAGATCAGAGGCCATTTATTCAAATACACAGTTAGAAAACAGAGCTTTCGGTAATAAATACCTACCTTGATCAAGGTATTTATTACCGAAAGCTCTGCTTTTTTAAATGTTAAAAAATATTTGAATATATTGTCGTTTTATATAGGTATAGATCAGAGGCCAGTTTTACCAACAGAAAAATAGCCGCCTGCCGGCATTGTTTGCCTAAAGACCGCTTCACATACGGAGCGTAAACAGGGGTGGAATATTAGGAATTTTGGGGGTGCTCGAGCAACCCCTGAAATTCAAAGGTCACCATATCCTAATAGTACTCCAGTAGTTGCTTAAATTACGTCTGAGACCGAACTGCTTTGCGTAAGTCGCCAGGAGAGTGATACTGTTGGGAAAGCGTCCCTGTTATGTGCTTTTCTATGCAAGAATTCGACGCCTCCATTCGACAGGTGCTGAGAAAGCACCCCCTGGGATTATGACAATTCTCCGCCCATGAGCGCAGACACGATGGGCAGTCACAGTGGGCACGTAAGCGGATAGGGCCTTTACTGTTTCACTCTGTATGTGAAGCAATGCAAAAGCCAGGCATCGGACCTAACAAAGAAAATGCATGCAGTCTTGATCAACCTGCTTCAAACGGTTATGTATCAACTCCGGCACCCAGCTGCCGGCTGCGCCACAACGAACTCGAAGCGGCCATAGTAGCGCCGCTCTTCTCCCTAGATGGCTCTAGTAGTACAGCGCCTGAACTCCCGCTGTGCCGCAAGACGCGAGCCCGGATCTGGCAGCGGCCAACGATCGCCTTCAATGGGCTTTTGAGCGATGTAGTAAGATATGCAATGCGCAATATTCTGCAATCGATGCAGGCAGGCTAACTCTAATCAGGCGGTACGAACAGTCGGCTATACCTACGGTACTGGGGCCTGTGTTGAGTTCATCACTTTGATCCTGCAGTGCTACCTGTTCGGTACAATAGGAAATGCGAGTATCCCCATTCCCCATCGTGGCAGTGCACAAGACACGGACCATCGTACCAGCTGTGGCCACACTGCAGGTCCTCGGGAATACGTGCCCCCGATCGGCGCCCTCGAGCCCCCCCCCCCCCCCCACCCCACGGTGAACCAGCGCCGCGCGCCGTCACCGCGGCTCTCCAGTCCTCCATGGCCATCCTTTGTCCGTCCGGATCCTCTTCATATTCCACTGCCACCGACAGACTCGTTCCCTGGATCGGTGGCTCACTCCGTGCCTGGCCGGCGGCTGTGGTCCGCCGGCTCAGCTGGCTGCTCGTGCTGGTCGTCTGCCGCACGGAGCCGGCCCCGACCCGCCCCGGCTCACAGTCGGACTCCGTCTGGAGCGCGCCCCGTCAGCCGGCTGGGACCGGGCCGCCGCCGGCGACTCGAACCGGGACGGCGGCGTGGGAGAGCGGTCGCGGCCGGCGGCTGGCGGCGGCGGCGGGCCCGGCGCTGCCAGCGCGGTACTCCACCCGCCGGGCTGCCGGCGCGCCGGTGCCGCCCTCTAGGGCGCTCTCGTAGTCGGTTCCCGTATCTCATGGCAGACAAACTTGGACGGCACTGGCGGCGAGGGGGCGACGGCCGTCCGGCCGCGGCTCGGTTGACACGCCAGGGCACCGCCGGAGTCGGCCGCTTCTGGCCAGACGTCTGGTGACTGACAGACGTGTCCTGCCGGCCTGCTGAGGTGAACCGCTGAGCTCCGGCTGGCTCAGCGGCCCGCGGCGCCGGACAGTGAGCCAGAGGAGCCACGGCCGAGTCTAACGCCGCCGACACCATCCAGAGCCGCGACACCATCCTTCTGCAGCAGACACACACAGACAGACACACAGTCACAGCCTCTGAGAAATGCAGACATATCCTCACAGGCCACCCGTTCAAGCTCTAATGCAGATGACAACGATAACTTCTTAACGGGTGGGAGCTCGCACTGAAAAAGAGCCATTAACAGCGACTTCATTTGCGCAACTTCAGTTGGCAGAGCTCGATGGGAAACTTGGACTGCTCCACAGGTCAGTACTGAGCAGTGAGCAGCACAGTCAGTGGAGACAGCACACACCGGACAGCCCGGGCAGCGGACTCGGACTGGGTATCAGACACGGACCCAAAATCAGACAGGGGCCAGACAGCGGATACAGACAATACTTCAACGGTCTGAATGTGAATACTTATCAAGTCAGTTCATTGATATTCATGCTAAACCAGTCGGGAGCACTCCATGGAAATTATCAATTTCCATTTTACTTATTTGGGCATATTGGGAACCCCTCTCGATTTCGTTCAAAATCGCCACACAGGTGTCCCACCACCAGACGAAAAACGCTTCATACCCCGCTACTTTTCATAACTCACCGTCTCCGCCCGGTCTCTGTGGGACGCAGAGGCGTAGCCAAGGGGGGAGCATAGGGGCCATGCCCCCCCTGGAGCCCAAAAGGGCCCCCATCGCGGTGTCATAGGTATGGTAAGGGGCACAACAAAAGTAGCGTAAGGGCCCCTCGGGACACTTCACTGGGTTCGTAAGGGCCTTTCGGGCCTGAGACCTTGCCGCTAGGGCCCTCTGGGCTCTCTTCATTAGTTATAAAAGGGCCCTTCGGGCCTGAGGCTTTGCCACTGAGCCCCTCGGGGCCCTCCATTGGGTTCGCAGGGGCCCTTCGTAATTTTAAGGTAGTTAAGCAAATAACTACGTCATGAAATTAAGAAAATGTTGGGCCCCTTCGCTTACATGGGCCCCTTTCGGTCTGATTGGCCCCCTTAAGAAAAGCCTGGCTACGCCCCTGCCCTTAGACGGCTTACATGACCCTCAGACGGCTTACGAGGCTCTCATGGGCTGTAGGGGCCTTTGGCGGTCTGATTTCTGAAGGACCCTCATCCGACCTACGGGGCCACAAGAACGCCTTCAGAACCGGCTGAGCGACTCTGTGAAGCTAATCGTGGGCCTATCTAGCAGGGACCCATGGACTGCTTGCCCCTCAGTTCTAACATTTTTTTTCATTTTTTAAATATTTTTAATTTATTTGGGCCCCCTCCAAAAAATAGAGGATGAAATCCGATGACTTTTTGGATGTGTGTGTCTGTGTGTAGGTATACTGATGTTTGCACAGACTGTTTATGTGTCCATGTTACATGAAATCATGAAATGAGAAGCTTTTATCAAAAATACAGTCAAAGAAACTTCACGAAAAGTAAATTCAGCTTGCCTAAAACACAATGTTTTTAGATGACCTAGGTTGACCTTGACCCTGACCTTGACATCGGTACATCGTCGAACAACATGTTCCATGATAGGTGGGAGGTAAGACTGGCAAAAAAGGCCGAAATCAAGGTGTCAAAAGCTCACAAGACCCATAGCCAACGCAAGATATTAGGTAGTAGTCCCAAGCATTAGGGTAGTTGTCAAGGTCACCGGAAGGTCAGGTCAGGTCATTGACCTTTGATACCTCGGTTCACTTTTTCGAGTTTTACATGTTTCTAGGCTAGTTTTTGGAGCTGAATTCGAATCAAGCAATCATTTGAACATTTACGACGTATTTTGGTGCCTTCGTAACATGTTCCGAAGCTGTCAGAGGCGGTTGCCAGCTACTACGAATACCCGGCAAAACCATTACTGGTTGACCTGACCCGACGTGGCCTAAATGTGTGAAGTTCAAGACATCATCTATGATCATAACTAACATTATAATCGTGATCAGTACCCCGAAAAAAACCATAGCAGCCACCCTTTACGACGTTCTAACAGGTCCCGATTTTCCCGATTTTTGGGTCACTGACCCGACCTGGGACCTGACCTGGAAGGTCAACCGATGACCTAGGACCTTAAAATTGGGTATCTCGGCTTCCTCTCGTCACGGGCAACA